GTGCGCAACCGCGATCACCTCATCAAAGAAGGGAGCGGCCACGCGGACAAACAGCATCCGAGGGTGCCCGAAGAGGACCTTGGCATGCTTTTTCTGGAAGCAGTAGGCTTTCCTTTTGTGGGTGGCGTAGGGTAGCTCCGTAGACAGCAAGAGTGAGCATCCCAGATTCCCCTTGACCGCTGGGCTCGAGATCGTGTAGTAGCCGTTGGCGGACGAGGCTCTGGCAGCGCACCTGGTTTCTTGGATTCCCGCAAGGTGTACCCCTCTCTGGTGCAGCTGCTGTCTGACCAGAATACCTTTGCCTGATACCTTCCTGCTCGTCTTCGGGTTGAGCACGACGTCAATCATGGACTGAGCATTGTACTGGCACAAGCAGAGGTTGAGGCGTCCGTTGACGCACTTCGAAGGTGCTGGTGCTGGTATGTGTTCCAGCTGGGCAACCTGCGGCTTGACTGTGAACTGGAACTTGCCATTGATCAGTGGAGGGTAAGCTGCTGCATCTTGTGGATGCGCCGTGCGTAGCCAGCTCCATTCGAGTGCGGGTTCGTAAACCAGGAGACTTGAGATGCTACCAAAATAAGGCCGGCGCCTGGGTTGTAGTCCCGCCTCCTTGGCAATCACGTCCGCAGCTTCGTTCCAAGGTGCACCTGAGTGGCCCTTGGTGTGTTCAAAGCGAACTGTCCTCCGTCGTCGAATCTCCTCACAGAGGATGGCCGTCAGTCTGGATAGGTCGTGATGCGAGGAAATCATCTGGGTGCCGTCCGCCGTCCCCAAGGCGGAGGTGTTGTCCCCAACAAACACACAAGGCATCCCATCCTGCCAAGCGATGGACGCAATGAGCGCCCAAAGAATACCAGCAAGCTCCACAACTGTACTAGAAGTGGGGGCTCCCAACTCCGATGGCACTGAGTCTGCGTAGTTACCCACGAGGTGCCCAAGGTAAGAGAAACCTTCGGAGTCTTGTGCGATATGAATCACTGCCCAGCTGGCCGTAGAGGGTGCTTTAATGTCGTAAGAGGCGTCCATGAAGAAGAGATGTGCCTGCGGAGCAATCGGCCTGACTGGAGCCAGATACTGCAAGGCCAGCCGAGTGTGCTCATGAAGGTTGTGTCCCAAAATATCATGCTGCCAATCTAGGGTATTGATGCTCCTGGCGATGTCATCAACCAAGGAGCGAAGCTGTCCGATGTTGCACGACCGCTGGCCGCTGCTCCCCGATGGGACATCAACTGCCAGGTGGTGCTGCGTCGCGCTGCCAGGCACTGGGGCCGATGGCGCTGTGCTGTCAGAAGGCAAACTATGAAGAGGGTCCTGAGGTCGAAGAACATCAGGCTGCTGCTGGGCCGCAGTTCCCTGGACTAGGTCGTCCCCAGGTATCTGCTGCGGCTGGTGCTGGATGTTAGGCCCTGGTGGAGCAGGCTGCACTTCCTGGATGTCATCGCTCGCCCTCAGCGTGACGCCAGGCTCCAGCTCCACGGGGAGGAAGGTCCCATGTGTAGGTACCAATGAATTCTGAATACTTGCATCTGGCCAAAATGGCAATGCTGCCCTTAGTTCCGTCGCGCTCGGAGGACAGCTGACTGACTCGGGGCATAGCTCTGCCCGCTCTGTCATTTGCCTGGCGTGGCTTGGGGGTGGCGTAGCTCCGGGTGTGTTTCGCCCCGTTACGCTTTCGCCACAACCCCTCGCAGAGGTAGGCGTCGCTCCAGGTGTATTTCGCCCTGTTACGCTTCCGCCCCCAGCCCCTGCGCCCACGCCAGCCGCTGCGCGATCTCTGATCGGGGTCAGCTGAGGGAGGCCTTGGCCTCCTTGGCACGGCGCAGGTCCTCCAGCCCCTTCTCCCTGGTCTGGAAGAGCTTGCCCCTGGCCCCGTGCTGCAGCAGCCTCTGCTTGACGTGCTGCTGTCTGGTCTGGCAGGTGGAAGATCCCCCTGCCGATGCCGTGCTCTCGTGACCCTCGTCCGCTAGCCCTGGCGGACGACTGGCCGAACTGGCTCCTCGAAAAACTGGTGAGTCCGTAGCCGTGAGATCCAGGAGGTTGTCGCGCAGCGTGGCGTCTGACAGGCCAGCCGACGAGGACCCCGCGGATGCGGTGATGTCCTTGCTCTGTGCTGGAGAGTTGGAGGCCCCGCTGACTGGCTTGCCGAGATCCCCTTGCTGTTGCTGCCTCCCCTGCAGGCTGGCCTCGACACCCGGGGGGGCGGAGGCTGCCAGGGCTGCATCGCGTCGTCCGCTGCTCTCGAGGGTGGGGTCCTGGTCCTGCTTCCCCTGTCTGGCGGCGGCAGCTCCTTCGCCATCTGCCTCTGGAGTCCCAGGCAGCCACCAGCGTGGGTCCACAGGCTGCGTTGGGGAGAGGACGACAGGCCCCCCACTCGAGGACCCCTGATCCGAGTGCTGGGCAGGGGAATGGCTGTCGTGTGACTCCCCCGTGGAGCCCTGCCCTGGCGGAACTTGGGCATGAGCAGCCACTGCGCCCCAGTGTGCCTGCACCTGCTGCCAGTCAATGTAGCATTGCCCAGCATCACTCGGCTGCTCGGCAGGTGGAGTATCCGTCCCATTGGCTTCATCTCGGCTGCGGTGGATCATGGCAGAGGCCGCCTGTAGTTCCTCCTGCTGCAGCGCCAGTTCCTCCCGCTGAAACTGCTGTGCAATGGTCTCCTCCTCGAGTAGCAGGTCGTCGTTGAGGACGCGCGCCCTGATGTGGAGCTGCTCGGCCACGGCTTCGGACAGGATCCTCTGCTCCATGCGCAGTCTGTCGGATTCCTGCTGGATGGCCATGGCCGCCTCCCTGTGCTGGCTGGAGTGCTTCTGCTGGGCGAGCTCCGCAGCCTGGGCCTGCTCCAGGGCAGCACGCTCCGCGGCTTCCTGGGTGCTGCGAGCCATTGCTTGGCGGGCAGCGCTGGTTTCCACCTCCAGCTGTTCCATGGCTTGTTGGAACCGCTGTCTCGCCTGGATCTCCATCTCCTCGTACTTCCTCTGCTCCTCCCAGGCACGCTTTTGCTGCTGTACAAGTATGCGTCCGTTCGCCTCGTCCAGCTCGGCTGCAGCTTGCTGGCGGGCGTCGAGGTGTGTGGCAGCCGAGTCTGACTGAGCCTGTAGCTGACTCGAGCGCTCTGCAAGGAATCTGCATTGCTCCTGAAGCTCAGCCCTCTGGCGCAGGGCCTGCTCGTTGTACTCCTCCAGCTGCATGGCCTCCTCCAAGCGTACTCGCATAGCATTCTCCAACCGAAAATCCTGCGCCTGGTGCTGCTGCGTGACCTGCGAAATGGCCATCTGCTGCGCCTCCAACCTGGTCCTCTGAGTAGTCTCGGCCTGGATGAACTCCTTCTGCTGTGTCGCCAACATGCGCTCCCGTTCCTCCAGCTCCTGCTGCATGCGCTTGACCCCCCAGTTCTGCTCCTGCAGCTCCTGTTGCATGCGCAGCTCCATGGCCTGGCACTCTTGCTGCATGCGCGCCGCCATCGCCAGCTGCTGGGCCTCCACGGCCTGGGGGGGAGCCGGCGGTGCCGCACGCTGCTGCTGACATTGTGACTGGATGCTGTCCATGCGCTGGTGGAGCTGCCTGATGGCCTGGGCGACCTCTTGGTTGAAAAGCTCTGGCCGATTGCCCTCCGCCTTCGCCGTCTCAACCTGCTGGCTGGGCGCGGACTGTGAGGTGTGCTCCTTCTTCACCGTGAGCAGCTGGCGGGGCAAGCCTCTCGGCGTGTGCCCCGCGCGTGGAGCAGCCCCTGGTCCTGGATCGGCAGGGGCGGCAGCTCCTGCGGCGGAGGTGCGCCAGGGAGCTCCTGTCGTCCACCCCTTGGGTGTCGGGGACGGCTGCGCGCAGTCCTGCACGGGCTGCTCGTCGGGCCCCTCCTCCTCCTCAGACGTGTACCCAGGCTCCAAGTCCTGCGCCATCAGCTCCTGCTCTTGATCATATACCTTAGCGATCCTCACCTCCAGCAGCATGGCTCTCTGGTGGAGCTGCTTCTGCTGCGCGTGGATCGTATTCAGCTCTGTGTTCATGTCGAAGCGCAGCTTGGTGAGCTCGGGCAGTTGCACTCCCTTGGGCTTCAGCATGAGGAGCGCTGTCTTCAGCATGCTGAGTTCCTGTTCTTCCAGTGCCGACTCCTTCTGCGCCCGTCTATTGGCCTGCACCACGTCAAGCAGTCGCTTCGCCCTGGCAATCAGCGCTGCCTTGAACGGCGTCCTCAGGGCTGCTTGCTCTGTGGCGGGCGGCTCCTTCCAGTCCTTGCAACTGCGCGCCTCATCCAGTGTCATAAAGCCAACATCTTTGAAGATGGCCGCGTGCTCCTGGCTGAACGTCTGCTGCTGCGCTTTCTGCTTCTTGCCAGTCTTGCCACCTGCGGCCTGTCGTCCTGCCGCTGCTGCTTGGTCTGTGGACGTCCTCTGAGGTCTCCACTTGAATCCGCATCTGCAGTGCCACATGCTGTTGGGGACGGGTGCCCCACATCCACCGCACTGCCACTTGTGCTTCGGCAGCGCCATCCTCTCGGTCGTGAGCTGCGCCGAGTGGTGGCTCCCCAGCAGCCGCGCCGCGTCCAGGACCCTCAGCAGTGTCCTGGCGGCGCTGCGGCGGGAGCGCTCCCGCCTGTGCCAGCCTCCGTCGGCCGGCGTCGCCAGGGGGGCGCCGCGAGGCGCGCGGCCGCGAATCGCGGCCCTCTCGGAGACAGGGAGGCGACGGTGGCCTCCGAGAGGGCGCCGCGCGGCGCGCTTGGGGCCCGGCCCCGAGGTCGGCCTGACCGCGAGCTGGACCGGGCGGCGGCGCCGATTGCCCGATCCGAGCCGATCGATCTGGCCCCAGACCTCTGAGGGCCAGAATGCCTTCTCCTCCTCCTCCTCCTCCTCCTCCTCCTCCTCCTCCTCCTCCTCCTCCTCTCCTCTTCTTTCTCCTCCTCCTCCTCCTCCCTCCTCCTCTCCTCCTCCTCCTCCGCCTCCTCCTCGTCCTCGTCCCCCCCCCCGAAGCCCTCCCGCCGCCCCCGCGGCGCCCTGGAGAGGGGCCTGCTCCAGGTGCATCTCCCCGATCTTCCGCCGCACGGGGCGGATGGCCTCCTCCGCCGCGGCCGTGCCCCCACTGAGGAGGAAGAGGAGGAGGAGGAGGAGGAGGAGGAGGAGGAGGAGGAGGACGACGACGACGACGACGACGACGACGACGAGGCGAAGAGGGCGATGGGGCGGCGACGCCCCGAAGGGCGGCCGACGGGCGGCCCCAGGGCCCCACTGGCTGCCGACCAATAGCGGGGCACCGACTGCACACGCCGGCCGTCTTCCCACCCAGACTCTCCTGCGCACAGTGCAAGAAACACGGCGGGCCTCGGGGCCGTCAGAACACGACGCGGGATGAAAGAGTCGAGCGAGTGAGAGAGCCATAGCGAACATCGCCAGATTCAGCAGGTGGCACCACACCCATGTACGCTTGTTCCACCCAGCGAAGAAGCCCAGCGGCAGAGCGGGGCGGCCCGGGAGGGGGGGGGGGGACGGAGGGAGGGAGAGGGACACACCCAGAAGCAGGGACGGAAGGGGGGGGGAACGGAACGCAGCCCGCGCGCGGGCTGCCGGCGCACCGAACTCATCCACTGGCCCAGGGCGCTGCACCAGCACGCCCGCGCGGCCTCGCGCCAGTCGGCCTCGCGCCCACCAGCCCAGACCGTGGGCAACAGCAGCGAGGGTGCCGCCCGCGGCGGCAGCGCGCCGGCCCAGCCTGCGCACGGCGACGGCGCCAACCACACCCCGTTACACCATTCCTCCTCCTCCTCCTCCTCCTCCTCCTCCTCCTCCTCCTCCTCCTCCTCCCTCCTCCTCCTCCTCCTCCTCTCCTCCTCCTCCCCCCCCCTCCTCCTCCTCCTCCTCCTCCTCCTCCTCCACCCCTTTGTCCTGCCGTCGGAGGCACGTCGGTCCTGGGCTCGGGAGGGGCCCGGGCCGGCGCGGGGCGCGCAGGCCCGGGCCCGAGCGCCCGAGGATCGAGCGGGGCGGGGGGCCGACGGCAGGATCGCCCTGCAGTGGAGGCCCGTGCCGAGAGACACCCTGCGTGCCTCCAGGGTGCCCTGGGTTCCCAAACCTCCTCGCGTCGTGAAAAAAACACGACGGGAGGTTTTTCGCTATTTTCGGCCTCTGGGGGCCCTTACCGGGCCTCGGGACCGTCAAAAAACGACTCGGGATGAAAATCCGGTCCCGGGGAATGGGTCTGGACCTCTGGGGGTCGCGTCATGAAAAAATCATGACGTCGGGGGTCTGGGTTTCGGGGATGGACAGACCTCCCTTTAGTAAAACGTGGTTTAGTGACACCGCCCTCGGGCCCAAACCTGGCGGGCGCAAGCCTGGAAAACGACGGCCGCGGCGCCCTCTCGAGAACCGAGAACGGACAATTCACTAATCGGCTTGTCAGGGTAGGAGGTCTGTCCAGCCCCGAGGGTTTCTTGGGTTTCGATGGCTTTGTGCTGCGGAAGGCGTGACGGTCCCACACCAAAAATCAATGGACGTCCTGGGGTCTCAGGGTTGCGTTTCTTGCGGAAGGTTTCGTGTGGTCGGGCCCCTACTGTGTGCTCGTAGATCCACAGAACTTTACACGCACGTCTCAGAGCTTCGACGAGCAGAGTCCATTGTGGGGCACACCGCTTCTGTAGTCGACACCCTCCTCGCGAGGTTTCGTCGAACCTGATAGAAAAGGACGCGCTAAGTTCATATATCCACAGAAAACATGACACTCACGTTTCAAAGCTTCGACGAGCAAAGTCCATGGTGGGGTCAAGCACTGCTGTAGTCGACCCCCTCCTCAGAGATCCGACGTCGTGATTTGATCCATGCGGGGTCCCCGGAAGTCTCGACCTATTCCCCGGGACCGGTTCTTCATCCGGACGGCCCTGGGGCCCAGCGAGGGCCCCCGGAGGCCGAAAACTGCGAGAAGCGCACGCCTCGATTCTCGCATACATGTGTCAACACGTTGGATCTCCGGGTCCTCGCGAGGGAGAGGCTCTTGTCACACACACACACACACACACACACAAAAAAAAAAAAATGGTAGTCGGTAGTCAAAAAAATCGTCCCCTGACTGTTTTTGAACAGTCCTCCTGTAGATAGATGGACATGGCCGACTCAAGCGTTGCAGGGTCCTGCAGGATCCTGCAAGATCCTGCAGGATCCTGCATGCTGGCCCAGGCCAATGCACCCCTGGCTCCGCGAGATCCTGCAGGCTCTCCGGCGCTCCAGCCGACCCCCACTTGCAGGGACGCCCCCCCCCTGAGATCCGACGTTGCGAGCAACCGACAAAAAACCTCTCGGGTCGGGCAAAAGGGGGGGATAGCAAAGGGGGGGGTTGAGAATCAGCTCACGTAGCTGATTCTCCTGGCGCCTCCCGGCGCCGGAGGCGGCCATGCATCGAGGAATGGGCCCCTCGGTGGGGCCGAAGCCAGCTGCATGCAGCAAATTTCGTAGCTCCCCCTTTCCCAATCCCCTCCTTTCGCCCGGCCCGAACCTCGCACAGAAATCACGGTCGGAACCCCGGGCCCGTTACTCTTCCGCGCCATGTCCCGAGCCGGATCGAGCTGTGAGGGCCAGCCTGGAACATATCCCTATCCCTGTGCTAGGAAGGCACCAACTATACACCAACACCGATCCTGGCCAGGATCACCCTGGGCCCAGGATCGGTGTATACGCCCTCCTGACTACCTACCAGACCACCCCAACCCAACCCGAAGACCCGAATTTGACCCGAATTTCGGGTTGGGGGGGGTACGGGTTCCATGTGTTTTTTCAACATTCCAGGACCCCCCCCCACTGGAAATGGAGGGCAAATTGGGGCCTTCGGGTTGGGTTGGGGTGGTTTGGTGGGTGGTGACCTCCTGCCTTGCTAGGGATTCCCCTATTTTTTGGAGGGCATCTTAGGGATTCCCTATGCTGGGCATCTTAGGGATCCCCCTGTTTTTTGGAGGGCGCATCCCCGAGATTGGCATCGCCTCTTGGCGTGCCAGTCCGAAGTCCGAGGCCGGTCTAGTGTGAGGGCCCCGGGGCCCGCGGCCGGGCGCGACAGCGCCCCCTGCGCAAAAAGTGCAAAAAACGCCGGGGGCTCAGTCAGAGAAGAGGCCCCAGAACACACAAAGAAATACACACAGATAACAGGATCCCCCATATTTGTCCATATATTTGTTGGATTTGCGTCTTCCCCCATACTTCCCATATTTCTCCATATTTTCCGTGGAATCGACAATGAATTATGTCTGTGTGTTTTTTCCCCTCCTGAGTCAGGGCCCGTCTCCGGAGCCCCGCCCGAAGTAACCAGGGGCCGTGGCCTCCGGCAAGGAGTGGCCACACGCAGGGGGAGCGTCAGCACCCCCTGCGGCCTCGGCTATCGCCGCTGTCGCCAGTACTCGAGGCCGGAAAGCCACCTCTTTGAGCTGTAGGATGGAATTTCGCTTAGCCAAGTAAGATATAACAGCTTCAACCACACTCGGGAGCGGCAAAGAGGGGGGTGTCGAAGAGGGGGGTGTGCAAATCATGACCGGCGGCATGTGCGCGGCCCAGCGGGCGGGCCAGGGACGTAATGAAATAAGAAGAGGCGCCATGAGATCTGGGGAAATATCATGGCCCACGCCATGATATCCACCCCCCCCTAGTCATCACCCCCCTCTTTTCCGCCCCCGACACACAAAAGACTGGGAGTGGCCTCCGGGGTGAGTCGAGTGGCCGCGGGGGCGCGGCTCTTTCGGGGGCCGCCCTTCGCCTCTCGGGGAGGCCGAGCCCGGGCGCGCAAGACGCAAGTTCAAGCATCTGGGGGTGCCAAGCCTGACTTTCCAGAGTGCTAAAAGGTAGCCCCCCAAACCTACAGACCTCTCTGGACGGCCCGAAACCCTGACAGGAATTCAGGCGTCAAGGCCCTGGTGCTACTTTTTAGCCCACCTGGAAGGTCGGTCAGAGAATGTGCCCGCACCCAATTTCCCCCCCCTTCCCCCCCCCTAAACGGGGGATATGTCGACCTCCATCCCAGGCCTCGCGGACCAAAACTCTCGGATTCCAGGCTTCGTCGACCGCCATCCCAGGATTTGTTGACCTCTGTCCCAGGATTCGTCAACCGCTATCCCAGGCTTCTTTCGAATGGCCCACAAATCTTGGGCGCAACCCTGGGATATACGATGGGGGTGGCGTCCATCCTCGATAGGGGTGCGTCCGAATAGCCCCCTTATTAGGTTGTATCCCAAGGTTTCCCCCTTTTCCTGAGCGGCCAAATGTTTCGTGCGGGACTCGGGGGGTTGGGGGAAAAGTCGCCTGCGGCACCTCTCCCAAAAATTCAAAGCTGGCACGCGCGGGGATGACTGCGGTCGACGTGCAACTCGTTGAACCCACTGCCAACTTTGATCTCTTTGGGGAGGGGCATTGACAGATGAATGTGGTATGAGTGTTCGCTAATTTCTTCCTACTTCAGCCTGTCTGGAAGGCGTCGGGCTGTGCACGGACGGCCCCCCCAATACACAACTACATGCGAGCCCTACCCATGCAGGTCAGGTTTCTGAACAACTGGCTGGGGTTCAGAATGTGAAGGCTGTCTGCAACCGAGTGAACCCCAGCGGGGGTGCCCGATACCCGATACCCCTTCGTCGATCGCACCCGTTCGCAAGTAGTCGCAGACCCAGGTTGTCCTGGCTGGCCTCAACAGGCCCCCTTCAATAGACTCAGCTGGCCTCAACAGGCCCCCCTCAGACAGCCCCGGACTACTCGAGGGGCCTGTTGACCCAGACATGTGATGTCTTGATGTTTTCCATATACGGGGTTCCCAAAAGTCCCGCCCCTTTTCCAAGGGGCGGGCCCTTAATCCTGAGCCAGTCTGCCCAAAATTTGACAGCTCCGATGCCTTTCGAACGAACAGTACTCGCAACTGCACACTATACCTGGCCTGGCGGAAGCGCCTTACCAAAAGAGGTGCTGCAGCGGGAGTGTATGGTCACACGGTGTCGAGAAAAAGACATGCCGCCAACGCGGCAAGGCACACCGGCGAATGAAAAGTTGGAACGCACTACACGCTTCAAACGTACGGCCCGCGAGCCCAGCTCGCATCGTCTCCTCACCCTGCTACCGTCGCCTCCCCCACTGCAACTCACACTCCCAGCGAGCCAGCATCCTCCAGTTAGCTCACCTCGGTGATCAAACCCTGGCCGATGGTCTTGCCTCCCTCTCGCATGGCGAAGCGCATGCCCGTCTCGATCGGAGTGGCGGCGATCAACTCGCCCTCGATCGTGACGTCGTCGCCAGGCATCGCCATCTGCACCGCGTTCCCCTCGGAGCTCGCCATAGTCACCATCTTCCCGGTGACATCGCACGTGCGGAAATAGAAGACGGGCATGTAGCCGGGCATGATCGGGTTGCTGCGGCCCCCCTCGTCCTTGCTGGACAGGTAGATGTTGGCCTTGAACTTGGTGTGCGTCTTGGTGGCGCCCGGGGCGCAGATGACCTGCCCACGGGAGATGTCGTCGCGCGACACGCCGCGGCACAGCACGCCGACGGTGTAGCCCGCCGGGCCCTCGGGCAGGTCGGTGTTGAACATCCTGATCCCGGTGACGACGGACTTCTGTGCCTTCTTGCCCCTGCCCAGGATCTCCACCTCGTCGCCCTTCTTCACGACGCCCTGCTCCACACGGCCAGTAGCCACCGTGCCGCGGCCCGAGATGGAGAACACGTCCTCGACCGCCAGCAGGAAGGGCTTGTCGGTCTGGCGCTCGGGGAGGTCGATGTACTCGTCCACCGTGTCCATGAGCTCCAGGATCTTGTCGCACCACTTGTCGTCGCCGCGCTTGGTGCCAGGGTTCGCCTTCATGGCCTCGAGCGCCTGCAGCGCGGAGCCCTGGACGAAGGGCACGTCATCGCCAGGGAAGCCGTACTGGCTCAGCATCTCGCGGGTCTCAAGCTCGACGAGCTCAAGCAGCTCCTCGTCGTCCATCACGTCCACCTTGTTCATGAAGCAGACGAGCTTGGGCACGCCCACCTGCTTTGAGAGCAGGATGTGCTCGCGAGTCTGGGCCATGGGCCCGTCGGGAGACGAGATCACGAGGATGCCGCCGTCCATCTGGCAGGCGCCCGTGATCATGTTCTTGACGTAGTCCGCGTGGCCAGGGCAGTCCACGTGGCAGTAGTGGCGCGTCGGCGTCTCGTACTCGATGTGCGAGGCGTTGATCGTGATCCCGCGGGCCCGCTCCTCGGGGGCGTTGTCGATCTCCTCGTACGACTTCATCTTGGTGTCCGTGCTCGTGTTGAACTGCGAGCACACCACCGAGATCGCCGCCGACAGGGTCGTCTTGCCGTGGTCCACGTGGCCCACCGTGCCGAGGTTGACGTGGTCCTCGGCGCGCCCCGCCCCCTCCGTGGCCACAGCACCGGGCGGCCACGTGCAAGCCCTGCCCCCACCCTCCCCCTCCGCGGCTGGCCATCGCTCGGACGCCCATTCCCCGTGCTTTGTGTTTTCGGCTTCGCGCGCGGGCTGTTGCACCAAATGATCAAGGATTAGGGGAACAACAAGTGGCATGAACATAATTACCCCGGCAAAGCAACCTAACAGCGATGTGTAGAAGCATAGCTGGAAACATTGCCTGTGGTATTCATATAAGAGTGCTCTCTTTTGATGCTCTCTTTTGACCCCATTAGAAACCTACCAGTCTTCGCTGTTAGGTAAAAACTTGGAGGTCCGCGCGAGGTGTGTATGGCAAAAACTGGGCACGATGTCCAACAGCAGATGCTGGCCAAAACCGACGGCGGCCGCTGTTGGGAATGCGGCCTTCTGTGTCAAATGGACCACGTCCGCGTCGATACCGACAGCGAATCCCTGTCAGAATGAACAAGCACTGCTGTCGGTCATCGCGCCCAACCTTTCCGTACAGTGGAGGCCAATCCACAAGAAACCCTCCACAAGAAACCCAACCCTGAGACCCCAGGACGTCCGTTGGTTCTTGGTGTGGGAACGTCACGCTCTCCATAATGCAAAACCATCGAAGCCCGAGAAACCCAGTGCGCCCTGGAGGCAAGCAGGGTGCTTCTCGGCATGGGTCTCCACTGCAGTCAAAATGAACTAGCATTGCTCGGGGGCGGCCAAGAAGGGGGTGTCCAAGAGGGGGGGGTGCAAATCATGACCGGCGGCATGTGCGCGGCCCAGCGAGGGGGGCCAGGGACGTATTAAAACAAGAAAAGGCGCCATGAAATCTGGGGATATATCATGGCCCACGCCATGATATCCACCACCCCCTAGTCCTCACCCCCCTCTTTGCCGCCCCCGAATTGCTGTCGGTCTTCGTACCCATCCTTTCCGTACCCGTTTCGATCGTGCCGATCTTCGCGTCCCCGATGCTCCAGGACTGGCCTCTCCCGTCGCGTCGTCTCTCTCCGGCGCTCCCCCCGGAGGCCGAGCAGAGTGCAGGGGCCTCCTCCCGCGCGATGCTTTTTTCTGCTGGTCGCCGGAGGTCTGACGACGACAACGACGAGGGGCAGCGAGAGGGAGCGACTGTTGGGAGGCAACTCCTGGGATGTCTTCGTTGGATTGATTAAGGGCGATTAAGCTCGATTGAAGGGCCACTCTGACCAAGCCCGAGAAACCAAGATTAAGTCGGTTACCGACCGCGGAAATACCAGCGCCGAGACAGGATCAACCTCCCAGGAGTTGCATCCCAGGGACTGCATCAGAGGGGAAACCAGCTGCCCAGGTACGCAACACGCAAAACGCAGCGCATCGATACGAAGCTCAACACGTAGACTGAAAGCGCATGCATGTCGCGATACGTTCGCCAAAACGTGGGCCGATGCGCTGAGCCAATGCGCAACGTATTGACACGGGCGTATCGAGGCAGCTCAGGAGGGGAAACCTCGACCTGAAGTCAGCGATGCATCGCCGACAGACCGGCGGCTGGCCCCCCCTGCCGAGCCCGCACGCCCCAGGGCAGGGCGGGCCATCGGGCCACTGTCGGCGACGAAGGGGCCGTCAAAGGTCGATGCATCCCCCCTTGGGCATATCCCCTCGAATGTTGCCTCCGAGACGACGACGACGACCACCACCACCACCACGACGACGACGACGACGAGGACGACGACGACGAGGACGACGACGACGACGACGACGACGACGGCGGCGACGACGACGACGACGACGACGACGACGGCGGCGACGACGGCGACGGCGACCACGACCGCGACCACGACCACGACGACGACGACGACGACGACGACGACGACGACGACGACGACGACGACGACATTGTCCTTGGCGCGCATCGCCACCGCCTCGGCGCGGAGCTTCCTCGCGGACTTGCGCGACGCGGCCCGCAGCGCAAGCGCGGCGCCGGCCGTGGCTAAGACGAGGGCACCGACCTGGAGAGGCCCAGAAACCAACACAAGCATGCACTAGACCGCGCGCACAAGAAGAAGAAGAAGAAGAAGAAGAAGAAGAAAAAGAAGGAGAAGAAACACAACGACAATCACTTTAAGACTGCTCGCGCCCGTCTGCTCGCGTGTCATCCGATACCCGCCCCCTTCGTCCTCGATCATACTCCCCTTGGGGGCGCATCTTCCTTACCTGCCACGTGTCGTCGGCGCAGCCTCTAAAACAGGAGAGGGGAGAAGGGAAGGGATAACGGGGAGAAAATAAGATGGAGCACGACAGAGATTAGCAGGAGGGGGGTCAGGAGGAGAACAGCAAGCGGCAGAACCAGACAGGCGGGGCGGGCGGGGCGGGGCGGGTCGGGCGGGCAGGCCCAGACGGCGGAGTTGAGCGGGCGGGTCGCTGAAGCGTCAGTCCGGCATGAATCGCGAGAATGTCTCGAGCGATTGCGCGATCCCCAAGCAAATCGCGCGGAAAGTCAAAGCGAGAGCGTGATTCCTGAGTGTTGGGGGCGCGGCGTTTCAATAAATCGACAGGAGATACCACGCGAGAGCGCGATTCCTGCATACATTGTCAGGAAGTCCGCGAGAAAGCGCGATAGAGAGCAAATGGTCAGGAAGTATCAGGCGGGAGCCGAGCCGCTGTTGCTGTAAACCGGGGGCACGCAACACAATCTGAGGCTCAACACTTGTGAAGGTCAGGGTGCGAGTCCCAGGAGGGGCACATCCATTCAAAAAGCACAAAAGGGCATTGGAGGGGGGGATGAACAATAACTGCTCTTCAAACATGAGAATTCAACCATCATTTTACGACTGATCGCGTTCATACGCACGTGTGTCATTCACAGTGGACATCCCAAACCCTCGATGCCAGCCCTCTTCGTCATCGATCGCACCCCCCTGGGGGGGCATATCTTCCTTACCTGCCACGCGCAGTTGGCGCAGCCCCTGGAACAGAGAAAGAGAAGGGAAGAAGCAAAAGGGCGAGGGAGAATAGGGGAACAAAAAGTGACATAAACATAAAAACTCGGAGGTCCGCGCGGATTTCTCGGATCGGCGCTGGGGCCCCCCGGCGGCGCCTCCAGCGCCGCCCCTGGCCCGCTCCGCGCGCCAGGGAGGGGAGTCCAGCGCCGATCCGAGAAATCCGCGCGGACCTCCGAGTTTTTATGTTTATGTCACCTTTTGTTCCCCTAGAGAAGGATGAAGCACGAGAGACTGTCAAGAGGGGGATCCTCAGCAGGAGCGCAAGCGGCAGGAACAGACGGGCGAGTCGGGCGGGCGGGTCCCCACAGGCGGGTCGGGCGGGCGGGCCCAAACGGTCGTGTCGGGGGGACGGGTCGCTGAAGCGCCAGTCCTGCATGGATCGTGAGGAGGTCTCGAGAGAGACTGCGCGATCCCCCCCAAAAAAAGCGGATGTCCAGAACGAGGAAACGATTCCTGAGCATTGGGGGCGCGGCGTCTCAATAGATTGCGAGGGCGTGCCGCGCGAGGGAGGCAGGGAGGCAGGGAGGAGGAAGGGAGGAAGGAGGGGGGGAAGGGGGGGGAGGAAGGAAGCGAGGGGAGGTAGGGAGGGGAGGGAAGGGGAGGGAAGGGGACGGCAGGGGAGGGCAGGGGAGGGGGGGAGGAGAGAGGGAGGGAGGGAGCGAGGAGGAGCACTGGGAGAGGAGAGGGAGGGCAGGGCAGGGACCTGCGGGGACCCGGGCCCCTCGTGGGCGGCCGTGCGCGCCGCGGCGCCGGCCGCGGCGCCGCGGGGCGGGGCGCGCGCGGGCTCGCGCCGGCCCCGCCCGCGGGCGCCAGGAAGGCGGCGCCGGGCTGCGCGCCGAGGAGGGCGGCCGCGGAGGAGGCCATCGCTGCCGGGGGCGGCCGGCTCGGAGAAGAGGAGAAAACGGCACACATGACCCAAGATCCCCTGAGATCGGCAAGCCTCCTCCTCCTCCTCGTTCCTCCTCCTCCTCCTCCTCCTCTCCTCTCTCCTCTCCTCATCCTCATTCCCATCCTCATCCTCCTCCTCCTCCTTCCTCATCCCTCCTCCTCCTCCTCCTCCTCCTCCTCCTCCTCCTCCTCCTCCTCCTCCTCCCCCTCCTCGTCCCTCTCCTCCTCCTCCTCCTCCTCGTCCCTCCTCCCTCCTCCTCCTCCCCTCCTCCTCCTCCTCCTCCTCCTCCTCCTCCTCCTCCTCCTCCTCCTCCTCCTCCTCCTCCTCCTCCTCCTCCTCCTCTGCCTGGAATCCAGATTCTGGAGGCCGCCGGAACACCGACTGAGGCCTGGCCGGGGGCGGCTGAGCTCGCAATGTCAGGCGGCAGCTTCGGGGGGCCCGGTGTGCCCCGTCGCGCCCCGACCCGCGCCGAGCGCGTGCCGAGGCCGTGTCGGACTCGTCGAGCCCGCGTCGGAGTCGCGCGAAATCCGCGTCGAGCGCGCATCGAGCCCGCGTCGGGCGCAGGAGAAGACGCACGACTTCGGGGGGGGGCAGACGAGGTCGCCCGGAGGTGCCACGACAGGAGAGGAGAGCAAATCGCAGAGGGCAGCTCCGAGCCACCACCTGGGCAGGGCCTCCCTGGGCCCCTGTGCATGGTGCATGCCTCCTGGCCGAGGTCAGGAGGGTCTATGCACCGTCCTGGGGCCCAGGATGGCCCTCGCCAATCACGATGGTGGTGTTTTTGTTCCCCCATGATTGAGAACTCAGATAACTTCTTGGCACAATAACTGTGCAACGGCACAATGAAAATGTCACGGAAAACCTCTTGGAGGTTGTGAGCATGTCAAACGGTCAGAAGGAAAAGTTGTATGCCTGAAGTGATCCAGACAGTGCTCAGTGCTCGTATCTACAGAGGAGAAAGGGGACCGAGGGAATCGGAGGTGAGGGGGTGAGATCGAAGTGGAACGGAGAGCCCCCCTACCGGGAAATCGATTTCGGTTTCGTGTTCGTGCGTGCCGTGCGCGCGGGCGAGGCGAAGCTGCGTGGGCGGGCGATAGGAAAGTCTCCTGTGGCTGAGGCGCGGCCGGACCAAATGTGTCTCTTCCGGGCGGCCGGTGGCGCGCGGTGTCCCGCCGGTGTCCCGCTGGTGTCCTGTCGGTGTCCCTGTGGCTGAGGCGCGGCCGGACCAAATGTGTCTCTTCCGGGCGGCCGGTGGCGCGCGGTGTCCCGCCGGTGTCCCGCTGGTGTCCCGTCGGTGTCCCTGTGGCTGAGGCGCGGCCGGACCAAATGTGTCTCTTCCGGGCGGCCGGTGGCGCGCGGTGTCCCGCCGGTGTCCCGCTGGTGTCCCGTCGGTGTCCCGTCGGTGTCCCGATGATGATGTGGATGATTATGATGATGATGATGATGATGATGATGATGATGATGATGATGATGATGATGATGATGATGATGATGATGATGATGATGATGATGATGGTGGTGGTGGTGGTGGTGATGATGATGATGATGATGGTGATGATGGCGATGACGATGATGATGATGATGATGACGATGATGATGATGATGATGATGAGGAGGAGGAGGATGATGATGATGATGATGATGTTGGTGTTGTTGATGATGATGATGATGATGATGATGACGTCGATTGTGAGATCGATTGTGACATCGATAGTGAGACCGAATGTGAAACCGAATGTGAGATCGATAGTGAGATCGATTGTGAGATCGATAGTGAGATGGATAGTGAGACCGAATGTGAGACCGAATGTGAGATCGACTGTGAGGTCGATTGTGAGATCGATGGTGAGATCGACAGTGAGACCGAATGTGAGACCGAATGTGAGATCGATAGTGAGATCGATTGTGAGATCGACAGTGAGATCGATAGCGAGATCGATCGTGATAGCGATAGTGAGATCGAATGTGAGATCGATTGTGAGATCGATAGCGAGATCGACTGAGTGAGACGTTGGTTCCCCCTCCCCCCTCACCTCCTTATCACCCGCAGGGTGGTCGTATAGGTACTATAATGATCATGAGGATGAGAAGATGGTAGAGAAAGATGTGGAAACAACTGTACAAACATATGGTGGTGTACAGATACCGTATGTGGAAAAGCTGTACAAGCACAAGCTGCCAGGGCTCCGTGAGGATTTCTTGGACCTGCGCTGCCCTGAAATCTGGGCGTGGCAATGTTTCCACAGCGGGCGATTTCGCCCGGTTTCGGCCCCCCAGGGCCATCATATATTATAATATATATATATATGTATATATATATATATATATATATATATACATCGGGCTCGAAAAATGCGGCAGAACGAGGAAACTCTGAGCATCGTTTACCCGACCCCCCCTCCCTACTGGCGTGGCCTGGGCCCCACCAGCCGATTCGACCCCCCAGATAGGGGAGATCGGCTGTCCCCTTCCGGTTTCGAAGGGCCTATCCCCAGCTGGGGTGCTGGGGTGCTGGGATGGTGGGGTGGGCACCATGGCCTCGTGGGCACTGGGACACGCGAAACGGTGTTGAACAAGCGGGACGAACGGAAACTTTCGGGGCTCCGTGCTGATTTTCTTGGGTCTGCGCTGCGCCCCCGTGGCCGCGCTTCCGGCACAGCCCCTGGCGCGCACCGCGCGCCAGGCAAGGGGGGGGGTGGGGCCAGCGCCGATCCAAGAAGTCCGCACAGAACTCCACAAGTGTATGTTTACGGTGATGGCATGGAATATAGACAAGCGCGTCCCACTACTCGCAAAGTAACTACTCGCAAATGGCCTGGCTCCGCCGTGGGGGATCTACGATCCATACATCGAAGAAGGCATTGTGTTTTTTCTGACGTTTGCGATTGGACACTTTGCTGCGAGTAGTGGAGCGCGCGCTCGGCTAGGATAAGGAACCGTTGGACAAGGAGCCCAGGGTCTTGAAGCCAGCGGCTTGGGAATCCTTTGAATAGGGCTGGGGGGTCAGGTCTGCAGAACACCCCAGACGGACATCAAGGGGCGCAATCAACCTGCTCGGTCGAGCTGAAATGGTGCACCACACCCGGCATCAAGCCAAAAATGTGTTAAAACAAGACAGTCCCAGCCAGAAATGTTCTACGAACATTTCAAGGAAACCACAAAAGGTTCTTAGAACATTGTTTGGTAGGGCTATAGGCGAGCCAGGACGCTTCGCCACTGCTGGACTCCAGGGCACATTCCTCAACGGACGCCCCCGCCGTGTGCCACTCCTTCCTCTTCGATGGGTGTCCCCTCGCCAGGCGTTGCGTGCCGAGGGCTGTCCGCGCGGCTGCCTCGAGCCAACTGTGCCCCAAGGGGGGGAGGGACGGCGCGAGCTCCTCCCCGGCTTGCCGGCACTCCTTCTCCTCTCCCCCCATGTACTCTCACCCCTCCCTCGCCTCCTCCTCCTCCTCCTCCTCCTCCGCCTCCTCCTCCTCCTCCTCCTCCTCCTCCTCCTCCTCCTCCTCCTCCTCATCATCATCATCATCACCTTTCTCTTCTCCTCATCCTCCTTCCTTGCTGCCTCCTCCGTCCAGTACAGCGTCCTCCTAGCGTTGTCACTCATCCCACCTCTTCCCCCTCCTCCCTGCTTCCATCCTCCCTCATCCATCCTCATTCCCCTTTATTACTCGTCTTCCTGTTCATCACATTCCTGCCACACCCTCCGTAATCATCCGCCGTCTCCTCCTCCTCGTCCTCCTCCTCCTCCTCCTGCTTCTCCTCCTCCTCCGTCTCCTCCTCCTCCTTCTCCTCCTCTTCCTGCTGCTCCTCCTCCTCCTCCTTCTCCTCCTCCTCCTCCTGCTCCTACTCCTCCTCCTCCTCATCTTTCTCCTCCTCCCCAATTCCTTTTCCTTATATCTGACTCCTCCCTGTTGCACCCCGAGGCAGGTCGAGAGGGAGGCCCGGGCATTTCGCCTGAGACTTCTCACCATGTATGACTCTGACGCTTAAACATTTGAGGGCGGGTGGTTTTCAAAATGTGGCTCTGCGCCGCGCACATTCGTTTCAAAAATTGGCAAAGGCTTACGGATTGAAGGCGGCTCGTTTTCAAAAGGTGGCTCTCGCCGTAGCGCCGCGCACAGTCGTCTCAACTTTGCAAGAATTTCACTGATTCAGGGCGGGTCGTTTTCAACATGTGGCTCTCGCATTAGCGCCGCACACGTTCGTTGCAAACAATCACAAGAGCTCCAGCGGCTCCGATTCAAAATGTGGCTCTGTTCTTAGCGCCGCGCACACTCGTTTTGAACACTTGGGATTGCAAGAGTGTCACGGATTCCCATGGTCCACGTGCCAAGAATCGTCTTGTGGAAAGACTCGGGATTGTTAAAGCGCAACTGTTACGTTGTCGCGGTGTAGAAAGCCCAGGAACGGTGTTCTGGCACGACTCCGGATCGCCAAGACGCAGCAGTCATGTTGACTCGTGGCGTTGGAGTCCCGAGAATTGTGTTCTGGCGCGCTCCAGGGTCTTCAAACGGTGGTTTCCCAACGAGGCAGTTCCCTCAGTGGAAAGAACTGGTTGCAAGGATGGCCCGCTGAAATGACAACGAACGTGTGGGTTGAGAGGGAATCGGTCCCGCCGAAAATGGATGGGCCACCCTCAAGTGTCTGCTTCCGGCAAAGGCCCCAAACGTCGTCAGTGGCGATACGGAGAGAGGCGCGCCGTCGTTGTCCCATGACGGCGTCGGGATCGACACCGCGCGCAGCTGTTATTCGTTCGACGAGCGGAACAGCAGGCGCCCCGCGCATTCACGGACGCCCGGGCAGGCGCCGGTCAGTCTGGCGATTTCGGGAGCTGCGCGCGACGCTGCGCAGCGAAACGTGCGCGCAAGATCCGCAGCGCTGCCCCCAACGAAGCGTAACGACTGGGCCCAGTGTTGCACCGCGCAGTGTCCCATGACAGTGTCGGAATCGACTCAGGCCGAGGCGACCTTGAGGCCGTGGGCACGCTGACGCCG